TGAAGCCGGTGGAGGGTTATTTTGAGTTGGAGAAGGAGGACTATTTGATAGTCCTCTAAAAAAACCCAAAACAACTGCTGTTGAGTTGATTCTGGCTGACGGTGACCCTGCGTGTGACAGAGGACAACTGTGCCCCATAGGAATTTCAATCTGTGTGTGTGTTTCCCCAGAAGCAACGTGGCAGTCCTTTCTCCCGAGTGCATCTGGGTGAAGTCAAACAGACCTAGAAGCACCTGGTGAGCAGCCAAATGCCACGCAGAGCCTCCCACTGGCCTCCAGAGGGCTTTGTTTAGGGCAGTGGGCGCCAGCCACTGAAGGTTTCCCAGTGCAGGGCCCCCTCCAGGCTGCTCTCTGAACCGAGCACCCACTGTCTTTTCTCTTGGCGACCTAGGAGATGGACCCCTCTTGCCTGTCCATGCCGGGGCTCAGCTGCCCTGAGACTCAGGAGGGAGGTGGCATTTCCCCGCTGTCATTCTAGCACTCTCCGTGAGAGCCTGGCTCCCTCAGAAATAACAATGCCACTCTGAATTTAAATGATCTGTCCTTCTGGGAAATTCTTCAAAGCAGCAGGACTGTTAACAGGAAAAGCAAAAGGGAACCTTGATAGTTCTGAAATCACTGTTTGGGGGGACATCGGAGGGTGGGGCAGGCAGCTGCAAAACTCTACTAGCCAGAGGACAAGTCCTGGGAGGAAGGGCCTTATTTTGATCTGTCAAGCGAGAGGAACATTGCTTGACAAAGTTTCTGCTTGATGTGAAGGAAAATCTTAGGGGAGCGATTTTTGCAAGGACCGGGCCTCAGTGAGGTGGTGCGTGAAGCAGAAGGAATCGCTTTCTGTGTGAGATACGTGGACAGAGCAAAGATGGGGAACTAGAGGCTAATTAGAATTGGCCTACCCAGGGGGTAGGGTGGGGCATGGCGGGATGGGGTTGGTGGCTGGTCCCCAGACTTGCCTCTGTGACAGGATCTTCCTTACCCACTATGTGCAACACTAGGGGGCGCGAGAGCCCTTCCTCAAAGTGTCTTGGCAGCAACAATCTCTTAAAGGAATGTTGGAAGGACCAGCCCCAGGGCCCCAAGTTCCCCCTGGCTCAGACCCTCTTGGGTTGGGAAGTGTCTGAAAGACCCTGTTCTCTGGGCCACCTGACATTGGGTAAGCCTTCCCCCAGAAGCCAGAGGCCTGGAGACAGAAGAGAAAGGCCCAGGATGGGGCTGGAAGTCAGGGAAACATGATTCCTTTGCTACCAAGCCCATGCTGCCTTCCTCAGCAAATGGAGCCCTGACCATTTCCTCTTCCTCTGAAGTCACCCTGCGTCTTTTGTCTTCTGCACCATCATTTGAGAATGACGCCCCCCCCCCCCAAGCTGTACAATGTTTTGACGACACAGTTGAACTTGCAAGTCATGCTATAGTAGAAGCGAGGAGATTGGAAATATACTTTGGTGATAACCTTTCAGGAGTAAATCAGAGATGAGAATCTAAGTTCCTGTGATAGCTTGGGAAATTATTTGAAACCAATCTGGTTGACTTAGGGAGGAGGGCTATGGAGTATCTAAGCCTTAGAGGGAGACATTGATCGTTAGACCCGACTGGAGCAGGGGCAGCCCAGACAGCTTCTTCCCGGGTAAATCCAGAGAGAGCAGGAGAATGGGAGATGGAGTGATGGGACAGTAGTCCTGGGGGTGTTTCTTGTTGACTGCTCTCTAGACTAAAAATGTGGACTGGGATTTCCCTAGGTTTACTTACAGAGGAACACGGGGGTGAGGGCAGACTCTTCCCTCCTATGGTCACGCATGGCGAGCTGAGCAGCGGGAGGTGGGCTCACTCCCACCCACCCCTTCCGTTTTCAACCCTCCAGTCACATCCAAGACTGCCCATTTTAGCTTCCTGGGCAGGGTCCGCTCCCCTCACAGTCTGCTGCGAAATTGCTCAAGAATTCATTTTGGCCCTGTGGGCTAGCTCCGGGTACTTTCTATGGAGTCAGCTCTGCCCTATAGAAATAGCCCTTGTGGGAGGAACTCGGGAAGTCTGTCTCTGCACACATGTCGGAGCATGTGATCCCCTTCCTGGTGCTGCTGAAAGCCTGCGCCTCGGGCCTGCCGGAGCCCTGCTCACAACTCACTGGATAAGCAGGAAGACGAACCAAGCCACTCACTTGCACTAGAAGTCGCGATTTATGCTTCTAATTTTAATTTTCCTCAGCTTAGATCCCAGAAGGATTTATTAAATTTGCTTTGTGGAACCTATTAACTCTAAACTGAATAATGATGTTACTCTAGGCTTGAAACAGTCTGTGGTACATTCTCTTATTCACAGGACTCCCATATTCCTCCATGACATACTTCTACGTCAGTTTTCATAAATGAAAGGGTTTACTCAATGTACCCAAAAGTTATTAGTAATGAACGGACCAGGAGACCACTGCCTGCAGAGGCAGTGGATAACAAATGAGAGCTCAGGAGAGTGAGGGTGTTTGGTGTAAGGTTGATCAGGACCCCTTTGGTACCCTTGCTTAGCTCGGCTCCTATGGACAGTCCTTCCTTCTTGCTGTTGCTGTGTGCCCCCGAGGAGGTTCCACCTCACAGCCACCCTAGGTGACGGAGTAGACCTTTCCCCAGTTCTTAGGTTATCTGCCTCACTGGGTTAGGCCCCGGGTCTTATCTTCTGTGGAGTGGCTGCTGGGTTCCACCTGCAGGCTCCTTCTCCATGGCACCACTAGGGCTCCATCCGGTGTGGGCCCGTGCCAGAACATAACTTGTAAGGAATGATTCAGGAGCCCTGCTGGCACCGTGGTGCCATGCTTAGCTACTGGCAGAAAGGCTGGGGGCTTGAACGCAGCAGCCCTCCGCAGGAGTGCGATGTGGTAATCTGCTTCTGTCAAGACCACGCAGCCTGGCAAACCCGATCGGCAGTTCCGCTTTATCCTGGCGGGTTGACAGCAACCGGTGGGGCTTTGGTCTGGATGTAGCATGATCTAACCAGATGAACAGCTTCCAGAATATCTAGGTAAATGGACTGTCATATGCATATATGCAAATGAAGGGTTGTTTTTATGTTTGTTTGTTTTTTAGATATTATGGACAGTCATTAACGTTTTGGGGCTGGCTTGCCTATCTGTGGCTGAGCAGCTAGAAATTATTGGCAGGCAGAGGGACATGCCTGAAAGCTCATGCTCACGGGCATCTTTGGCTAATGAAAAATGCATGCTGTGGCTCTAAATTATGGCGGCTTTGGAAAGACGGGATGCCTGGTAGGAAGGGGTGAGAGTTAGCAGGAGACTAGGGGCTCGAAGGTACTACTGACAGGGAACCTTTGCCCACCTGGGCATGAACCACTTCCTTCTCTGAAAGTGGGCAACGCAGTCAAACGTAAAGTCCTACTTCAGTATGTGTAAGTCCCTCAGGGATCCAGCTTCTAGCATTTGGTACATTCTGTAGACTAGGGAGCTAGAAGAGCACTTCTTTAGAATCTGGGGGTCTGTGGGGGGATCGCTGCTAAGTTGTTCTTCCGGGTTCCTTGGGGGCTGGCCTGACTCTGGTGGAGCTCAGACGGCATCCTGCTTTACCCTAGGTGGGTGCTGGCAATTCTTGGTTCTAGCAGACGTGGTTCCCTTTGGCAGTACACTGAGCGATGCCTGTGCACCTGGCACACAGGGTTTTACCATGGCGAGAACATGGTGTGGATTGGTGTCTAACCGGTGTCGTTGGGGACTTCTCCCTCTCAGCAACAGTGCACACAGTGGAGCCGCTGCCCAGTCGTGAGATGCAGCTTCCTTTGGGACCGGCCAGGACAAAGCGACCATGGAAGCCCGTGAGATCAGCGAGTAGGATCAGTGAGCATGGCAAGGGAGTGCCTCAAAGGCAGTCTTATCTGCATCTGCCTGAGGGTAGTCTAGATTGTAAGTGTTCATAGTCAGGCACTTGTATGGTACTTGGGTTCAGACTTAGCTTTTACAACCACATGCAACCATGAAGGACGCATGTTCATTTCACAGGATATGACAGAAAACATGTCCTTTTAACGAGAAATAAAAGGTTTTTTATAAAGGTATTTTTTACCTATTCCCTCTCCCGTTTCCCCCCATTTGTCCAGGTAGGACTTTCAAGGGGAGCAGTGGAGAGAGTGAAAGTAGTCATGGTGCATGCAGGCCTGATGAATGTAGATGTGTCTTTTTGGGATTTCCCAGGTCAAACATTCTAAACCATAATTCGAGAGAAAAAGGTAGAACCCATTTGTCAAATGGAGTGACCTGATTCTTGTTGATCAACATGTTATCACGTTGAGGTTGTCCCTACACAGTGAGTGTGATGAAGTCTGCCTTCTCCGGCTAAAATCAAAGCAGCCCTGGCCTGCCAGCCCAGAATTGCTGAACAAAGCATCTCCTAATCAGGCGGTCTATATGTAGATTTAGACATCTCCAGGAGGCTAGGAGCCTATCAGGCCCAAACTGATTATTCTAATCGAGTGTTTTAATTAAGCACACTTATTGCCAGGATCACAGGCATCCGGCCTGCTCTCCAGTAGTAATGGGTGTTTTTTTCTTCTTTTAAATTCTTTAGAGTGATAGTGTTTGGCATTGCGGGGGCGTATTTAACGTTTCTTTAAAGTAGGCCACGGGAGAGTCTCCTGTGAGGTACGATCTGCTGAGCTGGCAGTCTGGCCAGTGGACGAGGGGGAAAAAAATAAAATAGAATAAAAGATATTGCCAACTGGGCTGCAGATGAATCAATACTCCAACGACTGCATCTATTTGCATCGTCTACCCGAAACACAAAAAGCCATACTGGCTCAGACAAGGTGTAAGAAATATATAAACACACACACATTGGGTTGGCTTTTATTGGAATGCCTAGATGCAATCTATAGTCATCAAGTTATGGAAAATTCAGGTCACATATAAAGTTAAGAAGGCAAATGAAAAGAACAATACAAATCAGACAAATTTACATCTCAAAATATCATGAAAGCATTTTTGACTGGCTTTGCCTAAAATACTTTGAATATCAATTTTTTTTCCTGTAAGCTAATTCTTTTCATTATATAGTTCCCTACCCTCCCCCAAACTATTAGAAAAAAATGTTCTTTTGTTTACATATTCCCCAAGGTCACTATTTCTTGTAAAAGCATGTCCAGATCACAAGTCTTTTTAGAAAGAAATAGGCTCGTTATACCTACTAACAAGACACTAATTGGGTTGATTTGACTTCATCTAAAATAAGCACCAGGAGCTACACTGCTCCAAATCTGTGACTTCTCGGTGCCCCACTGGAAAGGACCAGTCCATGTGAAGAAGAGGCCAAGCCTATGACGTCACTTCTGTCACGTGGCACACGCTTTTCACGGTCACCATGTGAGGAACGTTTCTGCGCAGTTAGACTCAGGGCCTATTTCACCCAAAAGTACTTACAGCATGCTACATACAGTCCTGCGGACGCTCCACCAGACAGAACTGCAATACCTACACTAAGAGTTAAAAATAAAATGGAAAACAGCCATGTTCGTGTGGTTTGAAATCTCATCGTTTCCTAAATTTGGGCTTCGTCACACTCGCCAAAGGATTTCCAGGATAAAAAATATTAATGCTAATCTGTGCTTTCATTCTAATAAAATATCAGCATTCATTAGAAGATTAATTACTTCGGTATGCTCTACCAAATACACAAAGACAGTCATAGCACTGATGCCGGAAACTCAGTCGCTATTTTGAAACTCTCCCAGCCAATCTGTTTATTAACACGCCTACTGTGCAATTTAGAGTATGTGATACATACAAAGCAGTTAGAAAATTATTTTCAATACATCACTTGAACCTTTATATTTACGACATGTTCACTTGCTATATTTTATCACCATTATACATAGAGGAAAACAGTGTGTACTATAGCTCAATGAACTGAGAAATATTTTCTAAAAATATTTTTTTTGTGGCTGAATTTAGTGCTCATGAAGGAGATTTGAGAGAGCGGCCGGGCGGGTGCCGAAGTGCAGATCAGATGGCAGCGGCGACGCTCCCGCCCCCGTGGAGCAGGAGGGGGGAGGCTGTCAGGCCACTTCCAGCTGGATTTGCCTTGCGGGCTTCCCCAGCACAGATTAGGGTGGGGAGCTGGGGAGGTGTTGGTCATGTGGGCTCACAGGAACGTTTTTATCTCCTTCTTTGGTACCCCACCTCTCCCCGACATGACCTGAGGGTTCAAACCCAAGCCTAACAGAGTGTGCCTGACCTTTTCCAGCTGGCTCTCATTGCTCCTCTGGGTCCACCACCTTCCCCAGGTCTTAAGAAGACACGTGTGTTTACTAGGGTCAAGGCTATGTGAGATGCTTCCCTGCTGGCCAGCATCTGATGTGCGCTCCTCCATCCTGCAGCTGAACGCCAGGGAACAGGAATAGCTGTTAAGCCAATCAACTCCCCAGAGAGCCCCTCACCCTGCTCATGGGTGTCATGGATTTTCCTGGACTGCCCACCAGCCTTCGCCTGCTCTGGTGTCTCAAGTAGCCAACGGTTGAGGGCACCGGCTTGGAGAAAAAGAGCCGTTCTCAAATTAGCCACCCACGTAGGATTGCAATGTCCTATCTCTAATGGTAGAAAGTTGCACATGTTCTCCACCTAATACAAAAATATTAACACTTCTGGACATTATAGGCATAAGTTGTTATATCTCTACAATATAATAATTTATACTGTACAGCTATAACAGATAACAAAAGGTGCAATCCTTTTAAAAAATCACACAGGTCACATGTTTTTATCGTTTTATTTCTTTAAGTATAAACTTTTTAAACACTTTACATAAATTAACTCCTCTGAGACTAATATTTGATGTACAGTAAATTGTAATTCATATAAAAATCCATAAACAACTTGTCTCACATAATTTACAAAAAAATCAAGGTTTCCTTTGCTTATCAGTGACAGGGATTCTATTCCCCAGTTCTTCCCTCCCCAAGGCAAACCATGTTAGCATTGTAAAATCCGTTATTAAATCCCCTCCCCCCACTGTCGCTGAAGTCACTTGTGCCCATGTCCTTCCACAAAGCAGCACAGGGGAAGCAGTTGGGTTGTCTAGAAACAGCAACTTTGCCCCACGTTTTAAAATTAACAGAGATATATATCACATCCTATGCAGAGAGACTACTTCTTGTAAGCAACGGTCGACAATTCGGTAATATTTGGAAACACTGTATGCCTTTTTTTTTTACCTTAACTACAGTGCCTCAAAGGAAACAGACAGCCTATCTCAAAATGTTTAGGCTTTGCTTTTCTTTTCTTTCCTCATAATACTTTCAGTCCAACTGAGAGTGCAGCGATATGCATATGTAAACATATTCTTTAAAGCCGATCACCTTTAAGGTCATTCAGGAAAAAAAAAGTTGTCCTCTCCTTTTTATTTATTTACTTTTGTGGATTTGTAGGATGATGAGGATGATGATTGGTAATAGCAGTCTCATTCTCCTGGGAGGCTCTTCTGTCTCGGAGAGTCCAATGCAGATTGTGCTACAGAAAAATCTGAGCAAAGGGGTGGTTGAGGCTCAAGAGAAAATGCAGCAACGCGGTTTGGCCTTCTTTGCAGAAGAAGGGGCGCGGGGCCCAGGGTGTTACCTCTTCCCGATCTCGCTTTGTCGGAGGAACTGGATGTTGTTGGCGCTGTCGGCCAGCTCGGGGTACTGCTCCACCGAGAGTACGTAGTACCCGTCGTAGCCCTGCACCTTGCCCGCGCTCAGCAGCTGCCGCTTCTCGCCCTCCGTCCAGAGGCGCGCGCCCTCCTCTCCGTCGCGCACGCGCTGCTGCTCGCGCGCCCACGCTCGGGCCAGTGCGCGCTGCCGCGCCTGCTCCAGGATGCGCGCCTTCTCCTCGTCCAGCGTCATGCCGTAGCGCACGTGCAGCGCCAGCGCCCCGAACTGCATCTCCACGTCGGCGAACCTGCGAGTCCTGCCGTTGACCACGGTGGTGGACTGCGACACGGTCACGTTGATGCCGTTCTCCAGGGCCTTGCGCCCGCTCGTCAGCCGCAGCGTGCCCAGGTCGCTCTCGGGCGTGGTGGTCTTGATGAAGTAGTGCGTGTCCTTGCCCTGGATGGTGAAGTGCAGGTTCTCCAGGTAGAAGGCGTTGTTGAGCACGGCCGCCACCTTGATGCAGTCCTCGTTGGCGATGTTGAGCACGTTGGTCTGCACGCGGCCCTGGCTCACGGCCAGCATGACGCCCTTGCCGATCAGTGACTTGACCGTGGCGAACCACAGCCACGACTGCTCCCCGCCGCCCTTGCGCCTGCTCACCTGCACCTCGGCCATCTTCCCCAGCGACAGGAAAGCCTTGGCTTGCCTCGCCACTTGCTGCTGGACTCCAAAGATGGGCTGCAAAGAACAGAGAGTCTATAGAGCACTTTGGTAGCACTGGGTTGCCCAGAAGCCAGGCTCCCTGGAGATGGCCCCCTCTCTGTGGAGAGTGCCATCCAAATCCAACCCAACCCAACCCCGTGCCTTGGAGTCGCGGCCTTAGAGGACAGGGTAGAACTGTCCCTGTGGGCTTTTGAGACAGTAACTCTTTACCGAAGTAGAAACCGTTATCTTTCTCCGCTAGAGCAGCTCCTGGTTTTGAACTGCAGACCTTGGGTAGCGGCCAAAGGCAGAGCCACGCCATCAGAACACCCACTGGACACCACCAAGGCCCTGGTTAAAACCCCACTAGGATTTCCCGAGTGGAAAGTCCAAATCCACCCCTTAAATTCATCCCGCCCAGCCCTCCTCACCGTTTTTAATGCGAAAAACATAGCAACATCACGTATTGCCACAAGTGCTTTTTAGTTTCTAATATGGACAAACTATTTAAGTGTTTCTCATGGAATACCTGGATGTTCTTTTCCCACCCCAATCCCCTTTGGGGGAACACAGCAATTCAGGTCTTCCTGGCCAGCCTGATGGCCCCAGGAGGCTGAGGAGAAAGTCCCACACAGAGAGGAGGATTTAAAAGGCTGGGGGATGCTCAGAGTCATAGAACTGGGCCCCACTTTATTTGCCTTGAAATAACTCTATACCCTTCTCCCAGTGAACACAGTTTTCAGCTGAATCGCGGCCAATGTAACTGCAGAACTAAAGCGCAACAGGATGGCTGGCCCGGGGGTGGAAGGGGGGCAGCTGGAAACGGGTATTTGTTACTTTAGGAAAACAATTACTTTCACAGACTTGAGGACAGTGGGCCATCTCCATGGGCAAATGGTTTAAATTTTGGGGGGCATCTTAACTCCGCCATCTCTTCTACCAGATGTTTGTCTGGCCGGTGATTCCCAAATGGAAACATCTGTTTCATTTGCAGCAGTGAAAGAAACATTTGTTTTTCTGCACTTGGGGCAGCCTCGCTGGCTCTGCCAGCCATTCCCTAAGCTGTCCTTACAGTGTGCTTCTCTTGACAGAGAACTTGAACCATATTTAAAAGCCTGGGGGGAAAAAAACTGGCCAGTCCATTTTACACAGTTAGACTTAAGTGTTTTCAGACATGTTGTAAAGTCTACGTCATTGGGATTCGCTTCTTCCAAAGCGCTAGGAAACCTTAGTATGTCTTCCTGGCACGTTAACCGGGTGGATCTAGTTGCAATTAGAAATGTTAGACGGGTTGCCAGAGCTTTGAGACTCGGTGGCTTTGGCTTGTGAAGTCTAAAAGTGACATCTGAAAAAGGAATTGCTTTTAGATTAAGTATAAAACATGTAACAGAGGAATTAGGAATCGGCACAGAATGCAAGTGTGTGTGTGTGTGTTTGTGTTTTCACCACAATTGTCCTTTCCCTTTGTATCCACTGAAATCATGGGAAACTGCACAGGGGTGAGATTAATCTTAGAAACTGTGCACTTGCTTTTCTTCATCATTATGGGATAACCCACTTTCTTGAGCTCTAATTACACTGGCTTTAAGCTAAAACATTCTAGAGCTGTGTGTGTGTACACCCGCGCATGCCCAATGTGGTCCTATCTGAACTCAGAGTGGTGGGGTTAACGGTGCCACTGCTGCATTTTCTTTACTTTCAGGAACATTCCATGAACACATGGCTGGCTGCAGGTGGAGCCTTAGCCTTTTATTTTTAAACTTTTCTCATGAAAACACTGTTAATACTGTAAAGAAGTTGAACTCGGCGGCATTGTTTGTGGGCTGATCATTTGTAATATGCGTCCTGTGCCCTCTAGTTTATTGTGCCTTTGCCTTCCGGTCACTAGAACCACAAACGTGCGTTCGGCTTTCTTGAAGCAACACTGTGCTCAGAAATGAGTTTCTGCATTTTATTACCCTTTGATAATGATTGTTCTATGTTTTCATTAGCATCTCTAAAACACTTCAGCCTGGTTAGCAGGCCTGGTTTGCTGAACAGGAGACAGCAGAGGAAATGCTGTGGCTTTGCTTCCCAAAGTGGGGCAGAACACTCCTCACCGTCTGGGGGGCAGTTTTCACGAGGGTCGTTTGGTGAAATATGAGCCAGGCAGACACCAGGAAACCATTCATAACCTTTCACTGTTTCGCTTTGTGTTTCTTACCGGTGTATCATCCCACTGCTGGCTCTTCACGAGTTCGTAAGATGGCTCTGTTAAGTCAAATTTGGGAACAGGGAAGCCAGGAATAGCATTGTGCAGATGGAAGCCAAATGTCACCAGCCAGCTGTTAACATCTAGGAGAAGAACATTGAGAATGGAAGGTGTTAGGGTTTATTTCCTGCTGTTAGAGACATTTAAATCCTTACCTGAAAGGAAAACAAAAATACCCCCAACTCACGAATAAATAACCTGTAAAGGAGCATGCCTTTGCCGTCAACCCCCCCGTTGGAAACCCTGCATCTGTTTTTAGGCCTGAAGACAACAACCTGAAAAGTGGAACCCAGAGAAGAGGCACAGAAAATACAGTGACAGCATCTCCCTTCGGCAGCCAGGATACGCTGCCGCAGACACCAAGTCGCATTGTACGGTGGGAGTTGCGAGGACAGGAGCAGTCACGGTGCACGGCAGCACGCAGGAGACAGTTGTGGAAAACAAAGGAAATTTGTTTTGCAGTCGGTCAGAGCTGGCCTTAAGTGGAAGTCGTGTGCGATTAGCCTTCAAAAGTGATTGCCCAAGGATATACGGACTGTTCACAGCCCAGTTTCTATTAATAAAAACGCTAAATTGAAAGTATTAAAATCAACAGCTGATTCTTAATCAAAGATGAATGCTGGAAGCTGGCAAAACCGGCCAAGGGCACAGAAGTTCCGATTACCATCAGCCAGCACTTCAAAGGCTTGCTGTGCACAGGTGGAGACAAACTTTTTGGGGAAAGAACCTGGAAACCTTTAAAATGGTATTTTAAAATATAGCCATGTGACTCCAAAAGCCATTAAGCTCCGAATAAGGCTTTTATTCTATTCTGGAGGTTATAATGTTACCGAACTACTCAGCAGGCTTGTGGCTTTATGAGTACAGTTGGGTGTAGATTATTTTATATATTAAGCACATTGCAGGAAAATTTGAAATTGCATTTCACCTAATATATTTTATGCTGTTCCATCTCTCTTTTGATGTTTTTCAGAAAATGCTGCTATAGCATTCCCTGCAGTCCATGTTGCTAGGAGAGGAGGAATTTAGGAGCGATGGGCTTCCCAGCCTTGCAGTCAGCCCCAGTCAACACCTCTTAAATAACCAGTGGTGAACTGTGTGTCAGAATGATGGAGAGCCGCTTGTTTCCTATTTCCTTCTCTAGGGCACACACTTTCACCTCATTGCTAGTTTGGCAGGTCCTTTGTCCAGGCATCCCGTGGCTGTGAAACCAGAGGTACTCAGCCACGTTTAAACGGGTGCTGCGAGGGATGTAAGTCTGAGGTTCATCAGCAGGATGGAAGATGATGCAGTTTTGGGTGTGTGTGATGAAATGAATATGGCTACAAGTAGTAGGGGAGGTGATGCTTTGAGACAAATCCTTTCTCCTAAAGGTTGGGTGGGGTATTTGAGGCAAAGGCTCTCCTACTCTGGACAAAGTCTGGGTAACCAGAAGGTCTTTAGTATCAACAAGTATGGCCAAATAATGGGACTTGAATGTAGACGGTTATTGAAAGACCCTGAATGAGAATACCCTGAGGTGGCTACAGCACCAGGATGGTCTTTCAGCTGTTTCACACTGAGGTGAAACGGAGCAGCTTAGCGATCGGGAAGAGTGGGAGGCAGATGTGAAATGAAAGGGTCAGCATTTTGAGTGCTATCCTGAGGAAGGAGTGAACAGATTTTTTGGTGCACCTCAAATACAGAGCTAGAAAAGAGGCAGCCTGGAGGAACCGTGAACAGAAGTCCAAACAAACCCCAAACCCCAACGACAAGAAGACAGACAACCCTTTCCTGGAGACACAGACACTGGACACAGGATAGCTAATGCCGTGTGATTTCAGGAAGGAAGGGTGGAAGCAGAAGGAACCAGCTGTTTGGAGCAGAGAATGAGTGAAGAGATCATTTCACAAAAGATAGCTAGAGTGGTCCTCAAAAGGACTTTGTCTCCACTCTACATCCTGGCTGTCCTGTGGTGGCAGAAGTGGGATTCACGGCTTTTTTTTTTTTTTTAATCTGTGCACGATAACGCAGTGATATGAACTAAACTTGGAAAGTACAGGTCTTAGATCTGTCCTACCTAAATTACCCCAGTTGGGAGAAAAATTGGTATGCTTCTTAGTAAGGTCACTATTTCCAGAGTTGTGCTGATGGCAGTAAGCACAAGCGTCCAAGAGAAGAAATGAGAAGCACAGCCATCGGAAGGACATCTGGCGGGAGACACGGTTTCATTGTTGGCCTGAGGGGATGTTTAGACCAATATGACACTCCTTTAGCGTAGTAAAAATCCATGAGGCAGAATTAAATGCTTAATTGTATTTTATACTATCAGGCCTCATTGCCGTCAAGTTGATGGCAACTCATAGCGATGCTACAGGACGGGGGAGGACTGTCCCCATGAGTTTAGGAGCCTGTTCTTTAGGGGAGTAGAAAGCCCTGTCTTTTCCCGAGGAGTGGCTGCTGGTTTGGGACTGCTGGTTTGGTGGATTGCAGACCACTACGGCCCAGGGATCCTAGCCGTACTATACGGGAGACATTGTTAAACCCATTTCATAGGCGAGGAAACGGAGGCACCAAAAATTGCATGGCTGGCCCCTGTAATGCCATACCATTGGTAGGAGGGGAATTGGGATGGGAGCTTCCATTCTGAGCCTCTGAATTCATCATGGTGTCTGCTCTCCCTTGCCATTTCCCTTAAGTGGCTGACCTGTGTGCTTGCTCTGCACTGAACTATGTTCTTCAAAGATGAGTACTGTAAATCCTGACCCCTATACCTGGCTGTTAAAATCCTGCTCAGGACTGGGGATGTTGTTATACTAATACGGCAGTGTTACTACATGGTGTCGTTGGGCAAGGGTTGTTGGGTTACAAAAGAGCAGAGCAAGCAAGCAAGCAGAGATGGAGGACATAAGCCAAGTGACATTGAGATTGCAGAGGCACAGAAGCTGAAAAGAGGCCCGGACCTTCCTGCACAGCCAGCTGAGGGTGCTTTCCCTCCTGCTGGCACCCTGGATTCAGACTTCCAGCTTCTGCAGCGAGAGGAAAGTTGTGCCTGCTGGTTAAGGTGGCCCACTTGGGCATTTCTGGGAACAGCAGCACTAGATCGCGAAGACAGTGTTTTTCCAGAAAATGGTGGCCGTGGGTGTTGGCAGGCAGAACCAGAAAGAACATAGTATTGATCCAGGCCCCTTTCCTTGTACTTCTCCGTAGAGAAATAAACACAGTCAAAAGAGTAGGCACTTAGAGAGATTTCACATGTGTAGAGTTAAAAAAGGGAAATTCCAGTTATTCCATGTGTTGTCTCCACGGTGAAGGGTCCTACTTAGCACCTGCAGAAGTAAAAAGAAAGCTTACCTGTGATGTAGTCCTTCACATCGTGGATTTTGCTAGCAGGATTGTTATTCCTAAACATATACAGGTTAAAAGGCGCTGGGTCCTTCCCAATTCTTTTCCAGATTTCTATGTCAGGTGTTGTCCACCGTCCTGCCAAAATGTCATAGTCTCTCTCTCCGAAGTGGATCAACTTGGTGAGCGGGTCATACAAGCCACCGTGAAATCCAATGACCAGTTGAAAGTCAATATTGGAGTCAAAGTAGATTTCCCCGTAGGCGGTGTACTGAACCTGCTTCAGCATCAGCCCGTTGCTACTGAAAACGGCCAAGGGCGTGCCTGTGTTGTCCGACGCGATGTAGAACTCGTCCCCACTGCTGATTTCCATGGCAAAAAGATGTCCTTGAAGATCGTAATAGAGGGAGGTAATCTCTGAACTCGAATGGTTGTAGACGTGAGTAATCCGAGTGGGATACGTCAGGTCGGCGTAGAAGAACTGCAGGTGCTGTCCCAGGCTGGTTTTGCTGGACACACGCCTTCCCAGGCCATCGTAGCGATAGATGACGGTCCAGCCACTGCCCTTACTGTACACTCGAGTTAGAAGGCCCTTGGAGCTGTATTCAAAGATCTCTGTGCCTCTCTGACGCAGGAACCCGTCCTCATCCAGCCGGTACTGCACATCCCCCAGCCGAGTGATCCTGTCTCGCAGGTCGTAGCGGAGCGGCGTCAGGCGGGCGCTGCTGCTGGGGTTCAGCAGATGGAGGTTCCCATTCAGGTCGTAGTTGTACCGCCACATGATTTTCTCGTTCAGGTAGACGGTCTGCAGCTGCCCGTCAACGTCGTACTCATACGCGTACTTGGTGGTGTTGGCGAAGGGCCCTATTTTGATCTCTCTCTTGGTGACCCGGCCCATGTTATCGTATTGAATTGTAATCCAGTACATGAGCGACCTGAAGATCTCGTACTGAATCTCCTTGATGCGCCCGTGAGCGTCGAAGTGCTTCGTGTAAGTCATGACGGCGGTGGAAATGATCTGGTTGATATCGTAGTAGATCACGCCGAATTTTCCAAACTGCTCCACTTTGCCCGAAATGTCATCGAACTGGTAGAGGTCGATGGGCAGCGGGGTCTCGTTGATGACCCCTTGCATGCTGGTCACGCGGAAGCTGTTGTCATAGCTGTAGTCAAACCTCGCGTTGACCATCCCGTCCTCACTGAAGCGGAAAATCTGCCGGTCAATGAGCGGGCCGATCTGCCTGTACCGAATGGTGCAGATGAAGCCATCACTCTGGAGGTTGACCGTTTTCAGGACCCCCGCTGCCTCGTCGTAGGTAAAACTGACCCTGGTGCTGTCGTACAAGATTTCCGAGAGCCTGGTCTGGCGCCTGTATTTGAACAAGACCCTCCGGCTGGTCCCCAGGAAGGCCGTCTGCAGGAGCAGCCCCTCCTCGTTGTAGTCCGTGATGACCGAGGCGTTGCTCTCCGGAGGGTTGTAGATGTTGCGGTAGTAGCCGATGGAGCGGATGGTCTGCATGGTGTGGCGAGCCACGCTGGGCATGGTGATGGCGGAGAGCCGGTCCCACAGGTCGTATTCAAAGATGTACTGCCGCTGGCTATGAAGCAGGAGAACCATGGACTGCGAAGAAAGAACATCTTGTTACCGGGGGCTCGGGAGCGGGGGCAAGCAAACGCAGGTCTGGTCACAACATGTCCGCGACCATTCCGCTGAAGAACAGTATGGTCGCTTTAACACGTTAACCTTGACCTTACATGTTACTAATGATCCCCTGCCTAATTTGCTTGGATGCTTCATTGGGTGGGGCCCTGCAATTAGGGGCTCAAGGCTCATAATGTGCTGCTTGTCATGACTGTACCAATTTTCCTTTTTTCATTTTTTGGCCCAGGCATTTCAGCCAGGCAGCAGACTGTCAATGGATCTGGATAAGTCTTCAGACAGGCAGGAGCAAAGTGGCTTTAAAGATAGCGTTTTCAGGAGGAAAACAGCATATGGGAAATGCGACCCTATTCATAATTAGCAATTATTTAGGAAGGTGGCTCCCTCCCCCAACTTGATGGGGGATCCATTTAAATCATGTTTTAATTCTCATTCACTGGAGGGCGGAGGAAACCATTAGAAATAACGATTTCGTAAGGAGGATGTGTAAAACCAGCCCCAAACGGATAAGGGATACAGAAAACACCAACGTTGTGGCTCCACTAATCACATGGTGACTGAGAACTGTGAATACCTTTTGCACAAACCTGGCCCCAGACATTTGCGTCTTTGTGAGAAATTCTCACACATCTGCAGGAACGATAACATCTACATTTTGATGCTTCCTGTTGTTCATACCAAGTCTGACTCATGCCTCAGGTGCAATAAGTACAGTTTCTGGGATACATGCTCTCTGGGTGCCAAATGTTGATGTGACTATATATGTAAATAAAAACAAGCTCTGCTTATTTCGCAGGTCGTTGGCGACAGATGCCATGTATTTATTAGACGTCCTGAGGGAAGCTCCACCCTGGGGCAGACTCCATGAAGCTCAATAGTCACAGCGGGCTGGGCTCCCTCCCCCCTCCCAGGAAGCTTCCTCTAAGTGGGGGTGGGGTGGGGGTGGGGGTGGTGACGTTGCAGAGCTCCTTGGGGACCTGTTTCTGACCGTCTGACATGAAGTCCCAGCATCCTTGTCTCAGGCTCATTGTTTTGTTGATTGTCCACCATCCTGAAGAGCATTTTGCATGGCTTGGGCTCCCGTCCTCCCTCCTCTGTGGGCATCACCAGAAGCTGTTGTGTCTGTACACTGGCTGTACAGTAAATGTCCCAAGAATCATTCCTAAGAGTTTGCTTGCTTCTCAAAAAGGTTTGGATCACTGCTGGGTCCACAAGAACTGGTACCTAGTTTTACAGTCCTTCAAAATTATACTTGATGTGAACGTTCCTGGTTTGGCTATGAATAAATCGCGGCTTACTGGGTCTATCCCAGTAAGACATTGGAAATCGTTTGGCTGGAATTTAGGGATTTAGGAGATGTCACAGATTGAATTTGTGTTCCCCTAAAGTAAGCGTCAACTTGGCTGGAACATACTTCCCAGTGGTTTGCAGCCATGCAATGATGCAATCATCCACCATGATGTGAGCTGATGTGATCCGCCAAACAGCTTTAAGGGAATTAGAGTGGGAGCAGCACCTTTATTCGGGCCACAGCCCTTACCTGATACAGGAGGAGTTTCCCCGGGGCGTGGCCTGTACTATCATTTATCTTACAAAAGTGAGTACAGAGGGGTAGACCTCAGTACCATCAAGAAAGTAGACCTGGGAGTGGGGTCCCTATGCTAAGAACCTCCTAGACCCAGGGGAAGACTGATGCCAAGACACAGGGAGATTGCCAAGGGGTGTTGGGCACACAGTGTTGAAAGGGGGCAAGGATCCTTCTCAGAGTCAACAAAGCTTTTCCCTAGAGCCAGGACCCCGAATATGGTCTTTTAGCCTCCTCAACTGTGAGAGAATTAAATATGTTTGTTAAAACCATCTACTTGTGGCACCTTGGTTACAGCGGCACTAGATCACTTGGATGAGATGAGAACGTTCTTGATGGCTTTTCTGGTCCCCACAGATGCCTTATGGCAATCTTGGTCCTTGCTGGTGTCCTTCCCTGAGCTACTCCTTATTAATCGATACTCCTTGGCTCTACTCGACACTTTTCAGTCCCATGATGAATACTACTATCAATTGTGGGAGTCTGGGGCTTTATATTGTTGACTAGTCCCTGTAATGTAGTAAATTTATTTTGGGAGGATGGTTGCATAATTTAGCTGTCACTGTCCACAGGTTGGGAAGTGAAACAGTTCCCAGGTATCAGGATTTGTTCACGGAAAAGGGTGTACGCAGGGAACTGTCTCTGTGATCTCATAACCAGCAGCCAGCTGAAGGACCAACTCTAACAGGAGGATGCTTCTCACGGAGGGATCTTCTCACCGAATGGAGATGGTCCTTTGTTTGAGGGATGAATTCATTCTAAAGAAAGCAGCTAGGTGGGCCCCCCAGAGGTGAGCTTGGCTGATGGGCCCCAGCTGGAAGCACTTTGGAGGTGAGATCCTTCCTGATAACACGTCCAAAGGCTGTGAGACAAAGTTTCTGAGGAGCATTCTGACTGTACTTCCTCTAGGGCACATTTGTTTCTCTGGCATCTCATGGGACTTTCAATATTCTTCACGAAGGCGATGATTCAAATGCATCAGGTCGTCACTGGTTTTCCTTCCTCTCTGTCCAGCTCTCAAATGCCTGAGAGGCGATTGAAAGTACCATGGCTTGGGCCACGCTCTCCTTAGTGTTCATAACAATATCTTTGCTCTTCAACATGTTAAAGAGAACTGGGGCAACAGACGTGTCCAATGCAAAACACCGAATGATGTCTTGGCTGCTGCTTCGGAGAGTGTTGATTGTGGATCTAAGCAAGACGGAAATTCTTGACAACTTTGTGTTTCTCCATTTAGCATGATGTTTTCTACTAGACTAGTTGTGGTTATTTTTCTTACATTGAGCTGTAATTTGATCTTCATTAGTAAGTGCTTCAAGTTCTTTAGGTCTTTCAGCAAGCAAGGTTGCTAATGCATCGTCCTTCAATCTTGATGCAATATTAGTTCAGCTTCTTGGATTATCTTCTCAGGATACAGATTGACTGTCTGACGAAAGGAAACAACCATGACATGCCACCTTCCTCATTTTAAACCCTGTAGTATTCCTGTGTTCGACTTGAACGGGCACCTGTTAGCAGTCTGGACAGTTTCCATGTGAGCACAATGAAGTGTTCCGGAATTCCCAGAGTTTGTTATGATTCACACAGTCGAACACCTTTTCACTGTCAATAAAACACAAGCAAACATCTTTCTGACAGTCTCCTTTTCAGCCAGGATCCACCTGACATCAGGAATGAAGTCCTTCCTTCCATGTTCTCTTTGGAATCGTGTTTCATTTTCTGGCAGCTCCAGGAGCTGCGGAGAACATTGTTGAATTATTTTACTAGCATGTGATATGAACGATCTTGTTTGATAATTTCTGCATTCTTTTGCATCACCTTTCTTTGGAATGGTATCTCTTCTAGTCTGTTGGCCAGGTAGCTGTCTTCCAAATTTCTTGGCATAGGCCAGTGAGTTCTTCCAGAGATGCATCAATTTTGTGGAAGCATTTAAGTTGCTATTCCGTCAATTCCTGAAGGCTTATGTTTCAACAGTGCCTTCCATACAACTTGCCCTTCTCCTTCAATACCACCAGGTCTTGGTCATGTTCCTTCTTGAAATGGTTCAATGCCAACCAACTCTTTTTGGTCCAGTGACTCTGTGTATTCCTTCCGTCTTCTTTTTACGCTTCCTTCATCCTTCAATATTGCAACTCGAGGCTTAACTAGTTTATTCAGTTCTTTCCGCTTGAGAGATCCTGAATGTGTTCTTTGCACCTTTCAATACTGTATTTTGCTTTGAGCTTCCCTTTGAGATTTTTTTTTTGTTCACTGCTTCTGCAGGCTATCTAGAGTTAGATGGCATTGCACTGGAGCCAGGCAAGGTCCAGACACAGCATTGGACAGAGCTTCTGAGGTGACGAGACTGTGTGAGGGCAACAATGAGGTGGATGTGGTAATTTCTGGCTGGCAGAAGCTACACTGACTGGCGTGAAGGAGGGTGGTGGCAGACCCTGTTAAGTGTTTGTGACTCAGGCTGCTGTATGAATTGGCGGTGGGGTGCTTTGAGTTTTGCCAGGGATCAGAACTCCAAAAAAGAAGCCACTTTTAAGTGATGCAGATGGTCTCCGAGGCCAATGAACCATCCCATAAATAGGCTCTCCAGGGCAGTCATCCTTCCCCTCTCCTTCCGTCTCTCTTGGCCCCGGTAGCCACCTGGAGCCCTGCATTGTGGGACTTGGCATTTTGTACATATGTAGCTCTCAGTTCCTTTGTGGTGGTGTGCAAAGTTTTTAAAGGGGGGGGGGCGGCGGAATGGGGTGGGGAGGAGCCTAAGCTAGGATGCTTTTCTACAGGCAGAAGAGAGAGATGCCACAGAATCCCTGCCAGTGCCGCTCTCTAAGACCCGAGGCTGTTTGGGTTGATATTGCATCATTAGGACATGCTTTCTTTTGATGGGTGTGTTGAAGGCCTGCCAACAACAACACATCACTGACGGCTTAGGCTCTTTCTCAAATGAAAGAGCAAGCACGGACATTACACTCAAATGACTTACACGTGCAAGGTCTGATTTGTGGATGTTGTTGATGCACACGCTTGGCAGGTGGACAGTGTTACTGCTTGTTTGTTTACAACATAAATCAGTTAAAAGGGCCTTGGATAGTCGGACTTAACTAAGGACCAACCACTTTGCTAATGCAGAAATTCATCACTGTTCTTCCAATGTGACTTACATATTAATACTGAAAGGTAATCAATGGAACTCAGTCATGTGTCACTGTTGTGTGTTTTTCTCCTCTCTGTGACTGCTGGAAATGTTAACCGTTCCCTCCCCGTCTTGAACCTTGCAGGCAGGCCTACCTTTTCTAAGTAGGTGTAACTCCAGGTTTTACCATCAGCAAAGACGCGAGACACAATCCGCCCCTGTCCGTCATAGTCTACTTTTTCACTGGTGGTCCCTCGCTGGATGCTGGCAATCTGGCCTGTGGATGAGTAGGTGACGTTGACGGCCATCAGCTTGCTGCTGGGTAGCCACAGGGTGGGGTGCCCTGATGTGTCATAAGCGATCCTGAGCAGAAATTTACGGTGGTCATCATAGATCTTCTCTGTCTTGCTGGTTCGATCAAAGTCGACCGAGAGGAGGTTTCTGCCGTTCACCTGTTGGAAAAACCACACGCGAGGATCAGACAAATCAGCCTCCTCACACAAGCCCCCGACTTCTCTGCCAAGCCTCCACTATTGTGTAAGCACCCCTGCAGATGATGGATTCACTCTGTCAGTAAATTAATTTAGCAACTTCTTGGGTACAAGTGCAAGGCAGTAGATTAACTGCTCTTTAAAAAAAAAAAAAAAGGGTTTCATTAAGCAAAGACACAGCCTGGCATGTGTTCAAAACCTTTTCAATGAAATGTTATAAACTTTAACCAACGGATAAGTGAGAAGAAGAATTAAAAGGGATTTGCTTTAGTTTGTTTAGAAGATATGTAGGCAGGAAACCTGACATCTGTGTAAATTACCCCAAGACCCTCCGCCCCATAAAACACTGGAAAATAATTGCTTGGTAAATTCATCACAGCGACATTAAGTAAGACACAGTGGTAAATGTGACTGTAACCCTTCAAAGAGCAGTTAAGTAGAAGTTGGAACCCACATTACTGTAAATTATTAATGAGTTTAAATAGCAGGAGGTTACAAATATGATCATTGCTTTTGGCCAAGTGCTAAAATGCCACAATGTTTTAGAGTATGCTTTTTTTTAAAAGTAAAGTTAGCTGAGAGTGACCTCAGAGACCTGAAGTGCTGCATCTACATGGACCGAGCACACAAATGCTGTTGCAGTAGGGGCTCTGCGTGGCTGGGTGCCAGGTTCGGAATCTTTGCCTAAATTTGGCCATCAAGTTGTGTGATCCAAGGCATCTTCCTGCTAGCATTCCCTATTGCAATGGTATTGTGGCTTGACTCAAATAGCCTACCGTGTGTGCAATCTGTGGACCCGCTCCCACCCACCCCTATCCCCTCCACCAAGGTCAGAGACTGGCCTGCTCCTAGTTTGTCTTCCCCAGCACTGAAGTGACATCGGATACAGACCTACATGCTCAGTACCATATATATGTGAGTGTAAGCCGACCCGAATGTCCACCGAGGCACCTAATTCTTACCACAAACACTGCATTAAAAGTGTGCTGAAAAACTCGGCTTCTACATGGGTATATATGGTAGCTGCTTTGATTGTTAAAATTAAATGAGAAAAATGTAATTGTGCATGACCATGTCCTGGCTAGAACTTGCAAAATAAAGCACTCTGCTATTGTTGACAGGTGCAGCAGCGTCACCCGACCCATAGTGCCCAAATGCACAGCAAAATGAGGCACCGCCTGCTCCTGCGCCAGCCTCACGGTGTTGCTGTGCCTGAGCCCATTCTCCCCGCCTTTGGGTCTATCTACCTCCCCAGGAGCAAATCATTCCCTATGTGTTGATTCTCTGTCTCCAAATGCTATCTATGTCCCTCTCTGGTGACTGGCCCCTTTTGATATGCGTGCGCACACGCGCGTGCACACACACGGAGCCTCGGTAGTGCAACAGTTAAGCATTTGTCTGCAGACTAAACTCTGGTGGTTCAACTCCCTCCGTCCACACACGTGAGTAAAGAGCTGGCTACTTGCTCGAGAAAGATCACAGTCTAAGAAACACCACAGGGACGCCGCTATGTGTAGGGTTGCCGCGAGTCAGCATCGATTCAATGTCACATACAATACACATGTGATATACATACAATACACTTTCAATGTCACATACAATACACATGTGCAATAAACATACAATACACTTTCAATGTCACATACAATACACATGTGCAATAAACATACAATACACTTTCAATGTCACATACAATACACATCAATTCAATGTCACATACACATGTCCCTTTGTGTGTGTGTGTATACACATGTAAGCATATGTGATGTACAGACTTGGTATACACTGTGCACTTAGATAGCATCTTACACAAAATTTAGTTTTTGCATTCCACTGTTGGTGTAGCGTGGCTGCTAAGCACAGGCTAGTGGCTCACACCCACCAGCTGCCCCATGGGAGGAAGATCAAGCTGTCAGCTCTCCCCAAGATTTACAGCCTCAGAAACTCCATCTAGCAGGGGTGGGAAACCTTTTTTTTTTCTGTCAAGGGCCATTGGATATTTATAACAAATTCTCAGGAGATCCTGGTCAAGCATTTAATTAACTCACCCCTATGTGATGACAGGAGCCCTGGTGGTGTCGTGGGTATGGGATGGGGCACTAAACGCAAGGTCAGAGGTTCAAAACCACCAGCCGCTCCAAGTGAGAGGAAGCCTTCTACTGCCTTGAAATATTCAATTCTACATGATGTGACTGAAATATGGAATATGATATATGTATTAAGTTCCAACTAGTTTCTGCCTTTTAAAAAGGCAGAAAATAATCTTAGACTGTAATAAGCAAATTAAAAGCAAAAACAAAAACAAGTTACCAGGACAGATCTTTTCTGTCCTCTAAGGAAGGTCACTATGCGTCAGCACTGATGGATGGTACTGAGAACGTGATGGCTGGTAGTGCTTCTCTTTGGTGAGGTGTGTCTCGTGTGGTGTTAATTGGTATTGGTGATTTTGGGGCTCCTATAGCCCGGGCGAGACATTCCCCATCCCTGGCATGTAGGGTGGGTGTGGGTCAGGATCAACGGGATGGCAATGGGCTGGCATTGACACTAAGCAATTGACTGTCCAAAGAGAATGTTGTGAAGCAGTCCACAGCAGACGGTGCAAGCTAACCATCACTGTGGATCTCCCTAAGTGAAGACGTACGGAGAAAGGAGGAGGCATCCAGAGAGATGAGTCAGAAAAGAAGAAGAGTAGAGCTGTGTGCGAAAATGAAGAGATTTGTCGGTGTCTTTTCAGATCTAGCGTGGGTGGGCTGTACTCAGGCAGCAGAGACGGGTATCAGCAGTGGCGGTGCTGCATCCTGAGGGAAGACCGCGGACTTTGAAGCTCCGTTAACCCCGCCTGTAAGTAAATCTGGCGGTCTGGGCTCTGTGTTTCACGGACTTTTATTTTACTTTATTCTGACCCGCCAGCTTTCTGAGATTCCGTTTCCCCCTGTGGGGATGTGGAGGGTCAGCAAAGAGGAGGAAGACCACCCAGGAGAAGGATTGGCACCGTGGCTGCAATGATGGGCTTCCACAGGACACCAGGGAGGATGGCTCAGGCCTGGGAGCTCCGTGCTGTGGTGCCTGGGATCGGGCTGTCTGAACCCAACTGCCCCCAGCAGCATGTGGAGAGGACTGCGTGCTCCGTGCTCCCTCCTTAGGTGCATTCGCGAATGCTACAACTTTATTTTTAAAAAATCTGTAGACAACGTGGATCTAATGTCAGATGAACTTGGGAGTGAACGGGCAGAACCCCGTTCTCCAGTTTATATTGACACAACTGGGGAAGCCTCAGAAGAGGTTCTGCAATTGAGACGATTGCCTTGGGCTCTTGGGTCTCTCAGGCCGTGATGTAAGAGAAAGGCCAAACCCCTAACAACCCTGACGGTTCAGCTCCCCCTCTGCCTCCCTCCTTAGCTGGTCCAGGGACCGGGCTGCCCACAGCGTGGTTTCTGTTTGCATTTTCTGCTTGCACTCGTTTTAATTTCTTTCAATTCTGCACCGCCTTTCTCCACCCTCCTTTTGTCTTTACAGTAACAGTTCCTGTAGCTGCAGCAGAAGTCAGATCTGGGGACTGCTGTGACTGCTTGGTTGCTGTAGGGAGGGGGCTCTGCAGGGGAGGGGACTGTGAGCTTGTGTTGGACGGGCCTGGAACCCCTTCTCACTGCCTGTCACCTGCTATTGACTTCTGGTTTGCATCGTTCATTTGTGTGCATGACGACCAGACACCGAAACATGCAGATGAAAATCAGACGCAGTAATTGCTGCTGCCCTTGTGTGAGCCGCCATTCAGACCAGCCACCTTAGGGAGGCATCTGGGAGCAGGTGTGACACCCCACCTCTGGAGAGAGGTTCACAATTCTCTTTTTAACCAGAGAAGGCTGGTATGAGAAGCCTCTTCTGTGTTCTCTTCTCAAACCGAAATGAGGAAGTGAGAATTAGCTGTGGTCGTGGCTACTTAATTTTGTAAAGATGTCCTCCCCACATTCCCAACTCAGGTGAGGACTTTCAGTATTCTTACTGCTTCCAACAGCCAGGCAGGGCTTTTCCAGAGCATGCTTTTCGAAATGCAAAAGCCAGTGTTTCCACAGGAGGCATTTCCGAAGGCACAGGCTGTTGGTTTAGGTTCTAAACCCAAAGTTCTAGAGATAAGAGGATGTGAACCTCGTTTTCCACTCTACCAAAGTGCTTCTCTGGTCAGACCTGTTTTTGTGTCTGAGGAGGGAGACTGGTGCTCTCCTGTGGACAATATCGCTCCCAAACGTGTCCACACTTCTCCCTCAGCAGGCTGTGTGCTGCTGGTGCAGGAGCCCAGGGACGCATTCATGGCAACTCTCCAACCTTTAAAACTTTTCTTTTTTTAAAATATTGTGGTGAAATCCATATGATGAAAAGGTAGCCATTTTAGCTAAAAAGCAGGCTAGCTCAAAAAGGAAGGAGCTACACTCTTGCGGACCAGGCTCTTTAAAAACATTATCTGTTGTACACGGGTACAGAGAGGAACTGGAAACACAAGGAATCCAGGACGGATGATCCCCTCAGGACCATTGATGAGAGTGGTGATACCGGGAGGGTGGAGGGAAGGTGGGGTGGAAAGGGGGAACCGATTACAAGGATCTACATATAACCTCCTCCCTGGGGGACGGACAACAGAAAAGTGGGCGAAGGGAGACAGATGTTGGACAGTGTAAGATATGACAAAATAATAATTTATAAATTATCAAGAGTTCATGAGGGAGGGGAGCAGGGAGGGAGGAAAAAAATGATGAGCTGATACCAAGGGCTCAAGTAGAAAGCAAATGTTTTGAGAATGATGAGGGCAACAAATGTGCAAATGTGCTTGACACAATAGACATATGTATGGATTGTGATAAGAATTGTATGAGTCCCCGATGAAATGATACCTGCCCCCCAACCTTATCCATATGAGACCAGGTGAACCACGGCTGCCTCTGAAGCCAAGATGAAGCATTTTTGGG